GCCCAGAAGCGATCAGCAGACAGCCAGGACAGCAGAAGACAAGAGACTACATAGTCTCCACCCTGCTCCAGACCCTTTAAAAGCCAAACATTTATGGACAAGCCATTTTAACATCTCAGATCTTGTTAAGGGTTATTTTTACTTATGTGTAGGTTTCTGTGAAGCACCTGTGGGTGTCTATGGAAACTAGAAGAAGATAATGGATTCCTCAAAGCACGAGTTCTGAGTCCATGTGAGATACCTGACATGGGTCTTGGAAAACGAATTTGGATTCTATGAAAATTAATTATGTGATGTTAACTACTGACTCCTTTCTCCAGACCTGTGTCCCTGGTTTTTAGGATTTATAGATACAATATGAACCTCAATAAGACCACTGACTGTGCAAAGAACACATAGGAGCAATATCATTTGTGTACATTTGTGTGTATGTGCTCACATGTTTGCATGAAAACCACTCTAGCCCCACACACTCATGTGTTCTGGTTGGTCTTTGGGAGCAAGCCCCAAATCTAACACAGCTGATCATGGCCCTGGTACTTCAGCATCTTCACCCAAGGCCTCCATTGGTGCTCTGTCGGGGACAAGACCATGACTCAGCCAAAAAGATGAGGCACTCTGGGAAAAAGCCACCAGAGTAAGAATTGGCAGAAACTTCTGGAAACAGATTTGGATCCAAGAGAGAACCAATACGAAAATGACCAGTCATCCTGAAAACAGAATATATGTGGAATCTTAAAGAACCAGATGAACATCACAAGCTCTTCGTGAAACTCGAGTTTTATTGTATTTCACAAGAGTAGAAGATGGCAATGGAGGGCCGCCAGGAGGGAGAGGGGAGCTCAGTGGAGGATGAAGGTCACAGAGAAGCAGATCCCATGTCAACTCAGTTCCAGGACCCAGGACAGGGGAACAGAAGCCAGAGCCTGCTGTCTCTAACTAGGTGAGGTGTCCAGTAGCCACAAAGTGTCTCCCTGGAGCCTGTTGGGTAATGACTGCTTCAAAAGAGCCACAGAAACAGAAACAGGACAACCAGACAGTCAGTGGAAGGCCAACATTAGATGCAGCTCAGGTCAGGGTACCAGAGAGACCGACCTGTACCACACACACCTGTCCCCATGGGTGGCCAGATTCTCCTGGGAGGCCTTAGAAGGTTTTCAGGACTCACAGGTCATCAATTGGTCATGGGATGGTAGCCACCATGGAGGCAGATGAAAAGTGTGGGAATAAGCAATACAGAGGACACTGGGGGCTGAGGAGGGAGAGGAGGGTATCAGGCTGACCCAGTTGTGGGGAGCAGGACGGCTTGGCTGAGATCACAACTCTGAGGGTATCAGACCTGCACCTGGGGTATTCTGAAGCATGGGACAGGTCAGCAGCAGCTGGACTTCTGGCCTGAGGAGAGGCCACAGCAGGCCTGGCGGGAGCAGGCAGGGCGGCAGAGCAGGGACACACTGGAGCAGGGCTTGCAGCAGCTGGGCTGGCAGGAGGAGGCACAGCAGGAGGAGGTGGGCACACAGCAGGCAGGTCTGCACACAGGGTGGCAGAGCAGGGACACGCTGGAGCAGGGCTTGCAGCAGACAGGCTTGCAGCAGACAGGCACACAGCAGGAAGATTGACAGCATGAGGGCTGGCAGCTAGACTGCTGGCAGCATGAGGGTCCAGAGCAGATGGGTGTGCAGCAGACAGGCTTGCAGCAGAGAGGCACACAGCAGGATGGCTGGCAGCATGAGGGTGTGCAGCAGACAGGCACACAGCAGGAAGATTGACAGCAAGAGGGCTGGCAGCATGAGGGTGAGCAGCAGACAGATTGGCAGCAGGGGCTGGACACACAGCTCACTGGGGTGCAGATGAGGGTCAGGCAGGAGGCTGGGGTACAGCAGCTGGGGGCACAACAGCTGGACTGGCAGCAGCTGGGCTGGCAGCAGCTGGGCTGGCAGCAGCTGGGCACACAGCAGCTGGGCACACAACAGCTGGACTGGCAGCAGCTGGGGGCACAGCAGGTAGGCTCACAGCAGCTCTCTGGGCAGTCATCCACCTGCCAGGAGGAGTTGGTGCGGGTGTCAGAGCAGACAGACATGGTGGAGGCGGCCATGGCGTGGTTGGCTGGAGGAGGGTGAGTCTGTGAGTGAGTGAGTGAGTGAGTGAGTGTTGAGTGTGTGTGTGTGTGAGGTGTCTGGTGGCAGCATTTATACCCCTGGGCTGCTTGTGTTGTGCCTCAGCTCCTGGCTTCCTTTTCCCTGTCTGTGTT